ACTGCCGGCGCTAGCCTTCCAAGGACTCAATGTCAGTAACCGGGACACCACTACCCGAAGAGAGAGAGAGAGAGAGACAGAGACAGAGGGAGAAATGCCAATGTTACTTCAGGAAGCTATAAGCCCTACCCGAACAGAGTAAGAGCCTGGGGTAAATTCAGAAACCTTCGAAGCTTACAGTGATGACTTTTATAAGTACAATTGTTAACCATAGTCATGGTTGCTATTTTTGCTCTTACTACTGTTGTTTGCTATATATAATATAGTACACAATACATTATGTGCTACGTTCGATATGTCAGACATAAGGATAAACATATGTACAGGTATGTATATGTATATGTATGTATGTATATATATATATATATATATATTTATACACATACATAGACACATATGTATAAACAGTATATATCTAAATAAGTAAGCACACCCATAAGCACGTATGTATGTATGTATGTATGTAAGTATGTATGTATGTATGTATGTATGCACGTATGCATGCATGTATGTATATACGTATGTAAGTCTGTATATAGACATAACTATGCACATATATATATATATAGAGAGAGATGCGCACACACACACACATATATATATATGAATATATATATATATATGTGTATGTATGCACATGCATACATACATACATACATACATACATACATACACATAAGCTGCGTCGGAAACAGCCAGTTCGCCTCGGCCCCCACTGTTCTGCCGATGTCTCCTGGGAGGTCGGCAAGGCTTCCATGTTTCGCTACGTGGAGGCATCTTGCAGCTTGGGGTTCAGGAGTTCCAACCGTTCCAATCGGCAGTGCTATAGGGGCCTCTATAATTACCTATACGTAGAATACTTGTAATCGAATTCTTACGGCTTCTACAGTGGGCCAGGTTTAGGGTTGACCGTTTAGGGGCTAAGGGGTTGGGGTGTATCAATTGGAAGAGGGTTTTGCGATTATTGCTGATTGTCGGTGCTCGTATCGTACACCACTACCACGACTAGTACCGTTACCACTATTGCTACTGCTACTGCTGCTGCTGCTGCTGCTGCTGCTGCTGCTCCCGATGCTGCAGCTGCTGCTACTGCTAAATCATCATACCAATAGCGACCCAGACCTTCCAAAATACGGTTTAGGGTTTAGGGTTTAAGGTTTAGGGTTTAGGGTTAAATTAAGGAATATACCTTCATCTTAGGGATCCTGCTATGAATCAAAGTATATTCCTTCACTAAGGGATTTTGGAAGGTCTGGGAGCTTACATGCTAAGTCTGAAGGTGCCTTTCGCCTACTTCTTGCAGCTGGTCGCCACGAAGGACCTGCTTCCCGGGTATGGGTGTGTCAATGATTAGGTTTTATCATCGGTTTAGGGTTTAGGGTTTCGGGTTTAGGGCTAAACGGTTTATCCCACCTTGTTAAGGACTTGCATGAGCAAATCATACGAGGAGCCCTAAAAAGGGTGGGGTTGATAGATATTGGTAGGACTCAGGTAGGATTTAAGGTTAGCCCCTAAACCCTAAACCCTAAACCCTAAACCCTAAACCCTAAACCTTACACCGCGAAAGAAACTACCGAGCCTCCAGTATAACCTGAGATCCCAACTCCCCCAGGTTTTGAATCCGATCCGGAATGAGCCGCCCCAACACACCTATCACGTGATAAGCGTTCCTACGTACATGTTGCAGCCGAGTAAACTTTCCAGTTTCTGTGAGCATATACTTCCCCTTGCAACCGAAAGTCTTGCTTTTCAGCCAATATTCCGCTTCCGCAACAGGTGCCCCAAATCCCAAACCGCCAAATGAACATGTTCCCTTCCGCAAGACGTGCCCCAAATCCCGAATCCCAAATGCTATCTGAATCTAGCTCCCTCTACTCTGCAGCACTACGTGCTAAATCCTTCAACCCTACATACTAAACTAATCTCAAAGTTCCAAAACCTTCAGTCCCGAAAACGCTAAGCCCGTAAAGCCTAAACCCCTAAACCACTCCTCTAAATCCATCAACATCCGAAACCTCTGAATCTCTGAATCACTAATGAGTGACAGTATCACCCTATAGTCCCCAAGAGTTCTATATTACAACTTCTTCGAATTATTGAGGTCCCTTACCCCGTCGTAATGCCCCTACCCTGAGAGGTGCAAGGGTCCCACCCTCTCCGTCAACCCCCGCCACTATGGTCATGCTTTGTGTGTTGTGGATTAGAGTGTTTGCGGGGAGAGATGGGCTGGCACGGCATGCCTACCACACTGGCGGGGATGAGGGCCTATTCCATACTGTTCCTTTATTTTAAAGCTGCAATCCACATCATGCTCGATGAGATCGCCGCCAATAAATTCGAAGCCTGATGATAGAGCGGCCTGGATAATGTGAGTAGGTATGTAAGGGTGAGTATGAGGGCTTAGTATACGGGCCGAATAGTGTTTTGGAGTATGTTTTGGTAACATCCTCAGAAGAAACCCTAAGGAAGAGTATTGGCCATGATTCAGTCCCTTAGAGGGTTTAGAGTTTAGGGTTGTTGGTCAACCGGTAAAGACTTATGCTTGATCTCGTTTGATACGATTTGCAGTTTGGCATTCAGGGCACATAGGCATCGTCATGGGGCGTATAGGCAAATTTATAGGGGCTAGGGTTTAAGGTTTAGTTTTTCATCGTCAGCACGCATACTCTCAAAGTCTTAAATTATCTGTAAAACCCCAAAGCATCCTGCCCACAGGCCGGTTTATTTCGATCGAGCTTAATTAATTTACGCTTTGGAATACACCCTCCGTTTTGGCTATTGAAAATTGAGCCTTATCAACTTAGGGTTTATAAGCTCAATTGGGTTTAGGGGTGTATCTTAAAGGTATAGATATACCGCTAAATCCGAAACCACCTAAACCCTACAAGCATCTAAACCCCAAACCCTGAACCCTAATTCCTTCATCAGGGGGGGGCATTCATGTAGAGGCCTTAATTAAGAATTACCTATACTATTTTGGGGGCTCCTTATTATAGGTATACTATCAAGGACCCCAAAACCATTTACTTTGTTCAAGGCCCCTATATTAGACTCCTTTGGAGCGGAAGCCCTAAACCCTAAACCCTATAAACCCTAAACCCTAAACCCTAAACCCTTGTCTTTACTCAAGGCCCCTATAATATTAGACTTCTTTGGAGTGGAAGAATGCGAGGAGCCAGTCCGAGTCCAGGCGCTGGTGGGCTCCGTTCTGATCATCGCCTCCTGTTTTCTGGGCCACTGGGTCGCGGATTTTTTTTTGCGCAGGAGTTTAAGAGGGTGGTCATGGGGTTTTATCGGGTTGATAGTAGTATACAGGTGGTATAGATGCGGCTTTTGGGTTAGGGGCTGGAAGTTGGCAGGATTTTTCCGGGGAGGACGCTATAGTAGACTTACAGAGGGACTTTCAGACGGTGTAGATGCTACTTATTCAGACCGAATCAGACCCCTTAGAAAACATGTAACGTACCCTGGCGTACTGCTACGGAATCCTGTGGAGAACGCTCCCCAAGCCCTGCACCTTAAACCCTAGTCCGCACGAACCCTGAACGCCAAACCCCATATCCCAAACCTCAAACCCTACCGTGGCTGTGCGTGTCAACTTGTGCCACATCAGCGTATTTTAGATTCGACGTAGGACTTGGGACATAATCGTCAGTCAATCAAGGAATGAGTGACTCAATGGAGTCGCATTGAGATGTGCACTTTTATGCATGAGGTAGCTGCCAGTCGGCCAGAATGCTACAGACAATATCGTCATGCCCTATGTGTGAGAGTGTCAGAGACCTAGCTCCAGTCATCCTTCATCTGTTGTCCAGTCCTTTCTCTTTCGGAGACAAGTGTAGAGGTTACCAGGACCCTCCTTGTACCCTCAAACAGGGGTATATGGCCCCTAATCATGGGTATTTAGGGAATGGGTAGACGGAGGGTCTAGGTAGGTTGAGGTTATTGTTTCTATGTGTCCATTTACCCTTACCCTCAAAGGACTCATATTTTTAAGGCTTTTGGGCCCAAAAACCCTATTATTTAAGGCTTTTGGGCTATTTTGATGCTAAGGGTTAACCCTAAACCCTAAACCCTAAACCCTAAACCCTAAACCCTAAACCTAAACCCTAAACCCATTAAGATCAAGGGGGCCTCCCATATCTACGTCGGAGGGACCCAAGCTTCTGTTCTTCGTAGACAGCTTAGCTTAAGGAGCCTCCCAACGGTTTAGGGTTTATCCTTTAAGGTTTAAGGTTTAAGGTTTAGGGTTTATAGGGTTTAGGGTTTAGGGTTTAGGGTTTATCGTTTAAGGTTTAAGGTTTAGGGTTTAGGGTTGAAGCTTTGAGGTTTAAGGTTTGGGTTTAGGGTTTATCGTTTAAGGTTTAAGGTTTAGGGTTTAGGGTTGAAGCTTTAAGGTTTAAGGTTTAAGGTTTAGGGTTTAGGGTTTAAGGTTTAAGGTTTAGGCTTTAGGGTGTAGGGTTTAGGGTTTATATGGTTTAGGGTTTAGGGTTTAGGGCTCTTGAAGCCTGACACACTTGCGCCATGGCCGAAGAAGTCGACGCAAGGGAGGCCCTTCTGCAGTCTGGCGTGTCTCAGGCGCGGGTGGAGATTGAAACCTTACCCCCAAGGGTCCAAATTAGGAACCCAAAAAGGACATAAGCATAAGTATTTTATAGGGATATCCCTACCTTATTGGGCTTCATTATAATTAAGGAGATGTATATGGGATATCCCTATCCTAATTTTTGCTTATGTGTTTTTATGGGGCCCTACCAAAGGACCCAATAATCAGGAACTTGGGTTTCGGATAGTAGTTATGTAGGTTACTATTTGGGAGAGTATATAATTATTAGGTACTTGGACCCTTAGGGTACTTTCTACTATAGAATCCCTAAACCGTATAATCCCTAATCTCGAAGCCCTAAAACCCTATAATCCCTGGACCCTAAACCCTAAACCCTAAACCCGAATAAAGGATGTGCCCCCAAAACCTCGGATCGGTTCTGGCTTCTGCTCAGGCAGCTGAAGACGCTCCAGCGGCTCGAGATCCCGTAAGACGATATCAAACGTCTCTCTATGGAGATCCAGGATTATTGAGATTCCATGCACTGAGCCAGAGGCAACTTCTGGAGTTGAAGAGAGCATGCAATTTGTCGCAAATCGATATAGACACAGTCCGTGACATCGTTCAAGGGGGCTTTCGACTGGAGAGATGCCTCCATGTCGCTTTTTTTCTAATTCTGTTCGCTTGCGTGCTCTTCGCGATCCTCTGCTCGTTCTGGTATTTCCGGTATCCATCAGATTCATTCTACCACTGGACATTGGCGCTAGTATGCGCAACACTGTCTGCCTTGACTTGCATGTTTTTCGTGAAGCAGCGTGCAACGCAGCGAGCAGCTCACCAGATCACCAAGGATCTCAACCAACACTTCCAGGGGCACGCCAGCAAATTGGTCTTCCACACGAGCGCACGAGCCCGAAATCTGTGTCGAGTGGAACTTAAGTGGCGATTCGTGGTGCTGGCTCACTGAGTGGTTGTCCATACCCAAAGGGTCCTAGGTACTGTTATGGGGGATACCTTCCCAAATCATAATAAGGATTCCTAATATAGATAATAGAAACCCTACATTCTACTATATAGGTACTTTGGACCTTTTGGGATAAGCACGGCTCCAGGCTTGCTCAATCATGCGTTGGGCCACACTTTTTCTGCGGCCTGGCAGAGAAAAAAGTGAAGTTGCAAGCACCGTGCTAAACCCTCCCTAAACCCGAAACCC